GGGTCTGGGCAATGCCAGCCAAATGCTGGTCCAACTGCACCCCAAGATATTTGATAGATTCAGTGGGCTTGATCTCCACGCCTTTAATGACTAGAGGGGTATCAATCGGGCCCTCTGGCTTGCGGAGTTTCCTGTACATATGCATCAGTTGATATTTGGCCGGTGCGAATCGGGAAGCGTGAGTTTCCTCCCAGCGCTCTGCAATCTGGTGCGCCTGGGTGAGTGTGCGGCAATTCTCGGCAGCAGTCTCCCCCCAGGTCATGATTAGAATATCGTCAATATAGCCTGTCACAAGAACGTCAGAATGACGGTGTTGGATATCGTCAATAAGGTCAGCGTTGAAGAATAAGAATAGGATTGGCGACAAGGGTGAGCCCTGTGGGATTCCGGTGTTGACTGGGAATTCCCCCATGTTACCCTCGAGTAGGATCATTGATGTGTATCGCTCGCTGAGGAAGCTCTCTGTCCAGAGTACGAGCTCCTCAGGAATTCCCCGCTTACGCAGGTTATGGAGGAGCCTAATATGGTTAACATTGTCAAAGGCACCGGTGACGTCGAGTGCGAGTGCAGACACCACACGGTTGTTACCGCGCCATGCTGCAAAGGTCTGTTCCAGTAAGAGGTGCAAGGCATGCTCGCATGAGCGCCCTCGGCGGCCTCCTATATGGTATTTTGGTAGTACCACTCTCTATCTTCCCCGCACGTCGCGCGCTCTCACGTTTATCCACGATCTCATTGCCCATTGGCCCGCTGCTACCTATCTCTCTCTCTCTCACTATGTGTAGGCCCGCTGCTGCCTATCTCCGTCTCTCCTGCCTGCCCAGCCAGGTCTCTGCTGCCCCCGACTCGGCAGCCGACGTGTCGACGCGTCCTCTGAGCCATCCCCACAACGCTCTGCTCCTCCGTCACTTCCTCTTGATTCTCACTTGCAGGTAGGATATTTGCGCTGTAGTTGGTTCTTATTGGCCCTAAGCAGAGCCTGTGCATTAGTGCCTGTCTTGTTCATTCCTGCGGGTAGAACCCCACTCAGTGTCCTCGTTGGGGGCCTTGGATTGTGCGTCCTGGGCTGTTTTGTGTATTGCTTGTATGCCTAATGCTTCGGGGTCAACAGCCCGGAATTGGTCTAGGACCCCTGTGTCAACTATGAACTGTGCCACGGCGGCTGCGGTTTCCTTGCTGCCAAGAAGCGCGTCGAATTCGGACCGGGTTGATACCCGGATCTGGCGTTCAATTCGCTCCCATCGTTTTTGTCGTTGTCGGGAGTACTGGGGGCAGATTAATATGATATGCTTTGGGGTTTGGCTTCCATAGCCGCAGGGGCATTGAGGCGAGTCTCGACGGTTGATTCGCCAAAGGTAATGATTCAGGCCGACGCGCCCGGTGCGTAGTTGGATCAATATTGAGGCGGTTGCCTTTCGCAGGCCGCCCCAGTAGCGCAGTGCCTTCTTTGTAGGGGCTTCAAACAGCCTTCGGGTGGGTGCTCCGGCCTTGCCTTTCTCCCACTCTCGCCTCCAGGCGTCTTTTGTTGATTGTCGGATGCGTCGTTTGGCTGCTGAGGCCAGCCAATATTGTTTATCTATCGGATTAGTTGGGGTTCGGTAGGTGAGGCTAGTCGGCACCTGTCTGGCGCCATGTTGTGCAGCGCGCTTGGCCGCCCGGTCTGCCGCCTCGTTGCCGGCGACGCCTTCGTGCCCGGGGATCCATTGAAGGGTGATTGGGATGCCTTGTTCTGTGCATTGATCCAGTAGAATTTGACACGCCCTAATGAAGACTTGTCCGGAGACCATATTGGGATTGATGAGCGTTCTTAGGGCCGATTGACTGTCGGAGTAGATCACGACCCCTTGTTTAGCACGTTTCTGCCACTTCTCACTCTCGCTGGCCTCCCTGAGCCATATCGCTGTGTGGAGACCGAATTCGATGCCGCGGGCCTCCGCTGCGTACACTGTCGACGTGCCTTCGGTGCCCAGGCATGCCGTGTATTGCCGGTTCGCTTCGGGGCAGACTACTGCCGATCCGATGTAGCCTTGATAGCCGCTGCCGTCCGAGTAAAGCGCTATTGGGGGGGTTTCCTTGCTTTGTTGCTTGTCGTGCGCGCTGATCGCTTCTTCGCGTGTGTCAAATAGCACTACCCTCGGGGGTGTTCGCCAGGGTGCCCGGGTGTATGCTTGCCGACTCTCCCATTCGCCTGCTACCGCTTCCGGGGGAGCCTGCAGGCATCCACCCTTCTTCCAGGCTTGCACCTCGAGGGGCGTGTATCCACCGAGTTTGAGTTCTTCGTCCGGGCGAGGTTGAAATAGGGTTTGGGGGATGGCGTGGGCGGGTCCGGTTCGAATTCGTAGGGTTGTTTCTTTGGTGAGTTGCTCCATCTGAAGCCGAATAGGTAAGAGGTGCAGTTCGATGTTGAGGGCTTCGGCTGCTGTCGTCCGGAAGGCGCCGCTAATCAAACACGCTGCACGTTTCTGGATGGAGGCAAAGCTGCGGGTTATCTCAGCGGTCTGCTTCTTCGTGAGTGTTCCCGGTTGAAACCAGGCAGCCACCCCATAGAGCATTTGAGGGATGACGATTGCTTGATAGATTTGGCGCATCGCGGAGAGTGCCACTCCCCATGTGGAGCCTGACAGCCCCCGCAGCGCTTGCAAGCTCGTGCCCGCTTTGGCCACTGCTTTAGCGCGGTGTTGTTGGAAGGTGAGGCTCGGGTCCAGCCAGATGCCGAGATAGCGCTCAGCGTCTCGTGTCGGTTCAATTTTTGTGCCGTCTGGGAGTTGAAGCGTCGTCCAATTGGGGTCGGTAGAGCTGCGGGGGTTGACAAAGTGGATAAGCTTGTATTTCTTAGTATCGAAGACAGAGGCGTGGCGCCTGGCCCAGCGGTCCGCTTTGGCGCAGGCCACCTGCAGCTTTGCGACGTTGTGTTCCTCCGAGGCTCCTATGGTTAGAAAGGCGACATCGTCTACCCAGCCACTTGTAGTGGTGCCTTCGGCTTCGTTTGCGCTGTCGGTTAGAAGGTCTGCGTTGTAGATTAGATATAGGATTGGGGAGAGTGGAGACCCCTGTGGGATGCCAGTTGATATTGAGATGCGCTCTGATACGCCCTCCGGCATGCGGATGCGCGTGCTTCGCTCGCTCAGGAAGGCCTGGATCCATGGGGCATAGTGCCCCAGTCGCCTCCTGCGTAGATTATGGAGTAGACGTTCATGGTGCGCATTGTCGTACGCTCCCACGACATCGAGTAGTAGCATTGACACCACGGAGAGGCCTTTTCCCCAGGCACACCTGACTCGTTCAATTATGCTCTGAATGGCATGGTCTGTGGAGATGCCTCTACGGCCCCCTAGATGCGTAGGTGGCAGCAGGGAGTGCTTCTCTATAGTAGCTAAGGCGCCGGGCAATTATTGATTCCAGGAATTTGCCGAGCGTGTTGAGCAGCGCTACTGGGCGGTATGCCTTAGGGGTTCGATAGTCGCGGCCTTCGCCTCCTTTGCGTAGTATGACGGTTATTGAGCGCTGAAAGTGGGCGGGGTTGAAGCCTGCTTCAACACAGGCATTATAGATTTCATAGAGAGTGTCTAGGGCTTTTGGATGTTTTACGACCTTATGCCATAGGGAGTTCGGGATGCCGTCCTCTCCCGGGGCTTTGTCGGCCGGGGTGGCGCGAACCGCGATCTCGATCTCGTGTCGTTCGATGCGGGGGAAGGCCAGTTGTCTCGGGTACTCGGAGCCTGGGATATCGCCGAGATCGGCTGGGGTTGTTGCCGGGAAGAATGTGCGTTGGAATAAGGTTGCTTTGGCTTCGACGGTCTCGGCGATCTCTCCATCAGGTCCACAGAGAGTCGGCGTGATTCCTGCTTCGTACGCACCCTCGCGCGAGCGGGCCCATTTCGCCAGGCGCCAGAGGCCCTGAGGCCCCTGCTCCGTGGCCAATTGAACCCTCCGGCGGTGGCCGGCGCGCAGGGCCTTCTTGACAAGGCGTTTCTTTCTGTTCCGGGCGATTTTATACAGGGCCCACGAGCGTGGTGTGTGATAGCGTGTGTATTGGCGGCGGAGATACCGGGCCGTCTTGACCGCCTCGCGGCATTCGGGGGTGAAGTCGGGATTGGCCCATTCACTGGGGACGGCCATCGGGGTTGAGGCCTCAATGGCACGGCGGATCGTGGCTGTAAAGGCGGTTGTGGCGAGCTCGATTCGTTGCTTTGAGGCCCTCTGGAGGTTTGGGACGATTAGGTGCTTATCGAGTGTCTCCAGAAGGATCTTGGTGTCGGTGGCTTTCCAGTTTCGGCGTCGGGGGAGTTCTCTCGGGGGAGTGGTGATGTCCAGGAGGGTTCTTATAGGATAATGGTCGGAGTCGTGCTGCACATCGTCCGCTCGTTCACATGCTATAAGCCTGTTGGTCAGGTTTTTAGAGATTAGAGTTAGATCGATAGTGGAGGTTAGTTCGCCTCGTTCCCACGTGACTGTGCCTTCTTCTGTGGTCAGTTCGATGTTATAGCGGTAAGCAATCTCTAGAAGGCGCTCCCCTTCGGGATCCATGTTCGTGCCGGGGCCACCCCAGGCAGGGTGGTGCACGTTCATGTCTCCCACGATGAGATGTTCGGTCTCCAGCGCGTTCGTTGAGGCTCCGGGTGGGGCTGCCTGGAGGCGTTCTAGTTGGACAGCTATCTCCTCTATGGTTCCACTTCTCGGCTCGTTGTATATATTGTGAATCGCCAGCATTCGGGGGCACCCCCCGCGCTCATAGTGGATCTGTAGGACCTGATAGTCCTTATTGACAATGGTATGGATCCATTTCGATGGGTCGATGCGCTTGTTCACAAATAGGGCCACCCGAGCCTGCCCCTTTGGATAGTGAAGTTGGTGCGTTCGGGATGCAGGTTGGTGCGTGGTGGCATTGAATTCGTTGCGCCAGGGCTCTTGAACCGCTATAACGTCGGCCTCCAGAATCTTTTTGTCTCGTAGGAATGTCGCCATGACGACATCCTTGCTTTTGTGTGTGTTATATTGAATCAATTGGAAGCCCTCCATTTAGAAAAGTGCTTAGGAGGGGTCTTAGTGCGTGCTCGGGGGACGAATGTCACGTCCATCGGATCGTCCGCCTCGTCGTCGGCATCGGAGAGGCTTGATAAGCTTGAGTTACTGTCGATTTCGCTTTCCATGGGTGGTTCCGGCTTTGATTGGATAAGTGATCTCTGTGGCGAGCTTCGCGGGGGGCCAATTGGCACCAGATTGTCTCCTGTCCTTGGGGTATTAGTGAATTGGTTCAGAAGGGTAAGAAAGCCTGTCTCTGAGGGCTGTTCCGGCTGTAGTTCCCGGAAGCTCGCTTCGCTGTTTAATATGATGTTGTCGCCCCCTTCGTCCATAGTGATCTCAGGGAGCGGTGGAGGAAGCTGGGGCTCCCTGGTCTGAACTGGTTCCGGCTGAGTGCCTGCTTCCAGTGATCGCTTGCTAACTGGCTTCCGAAGTAATTTTTCTGGTTCGCTGAACATCTTTACCAGCTCTCCTCTGCGTTGGCGCTCTGGGGGTGCTGGGGCTGTGCTTGATACTGTGCTTTGGGTTGCCGAGAGCGCTGCCTGGATTGGACCTTCCATATCCGGTAAGGGCTCTTGGCCTGTAGATGATATTGACTTGGAGCCTTTAGGGCGGCCTCGGGGTCGGGTCGCTTTGCGTATCGTTGGCTTATCGAACACGACTCCCTGTCTCTCGGCGTCCTATCGGCGACGTTCGATGTCAAGCGGCACTGGTGCCGTCTGTCGATCCTCACTCCTGCGGGTGGCCGGGGCATTTGGAGTGGTTATTTGTGTTGGTGCTGGCGTTGTTCCTAAGGCGGGGAAGTTATTAGTGTCGTTTTTTGGGATCCAATGTTCTGGAATCCGGTGAAGACGCTCGCAGCTGTATAAAGCCGCTTTGGCCTTTCCAACTGCTTCCTTCCTGACTGGGCAGGCATCGCTAACGGCCTTATGGGCCCCTTTGCAATTGGCACACTTCGGGGTAACGTTCTTATCCTTGCCTTGCTTGGAGCGACACTCCCAGGTCGGGTGTCCCTCCGCGCAGATGCCACATGTAAAGTCTTTGGCTGGACACTGAGTTTGGGCGTGTCCATATCTTTGGCACTTCATGCACATCCTGCACCGGCCTTCTCGGCAGTAAGGCCTAGCGGTGAGACTTGAGTGTTCCCAAACCATGCCTTTCAGAATTGCCTTGTTGGCCACGAGAGCGCTTGTAAACTCGATGACCAGCGAACAGAATTCCCGTCTTGGTTTCAACCGGGTGGTTGCTAGGTGAGCGCAAACTTAAAGAACAAAGCCCCCCCCAGTCACAATTGGTCGTCATTTTCGATGACGAACGTGTCGCCAACTTTGCCATCTCTCGAGGCCTAATTATCAAGGGGAAACAGCACCAATGTACGATCTATGATAAGAGTGTCAACCTGCAACAATGCTTCAATTGCCAAATGTATAAGCATATCGCCAAACACTGCCGACGTCAGGCCTGCTGCGCTTACTGTGCTGGCCACCATGATACTGGGGACTGCTCCACACCCCACGACAAGCAGTATGCCAAGTGCACTAACTGCGTCGAAGAAAACACCCATATCAAAGATCCAGCCAAGAAGCACGACGAACGCCACTACGCCTTCGCGAGGGAGTGCCCAATTCGGGCATCCTGCCTCTACGAGGTGCACCAGCGTCGCGCCCACGGGCCCCAATTCCACGCGCCAGTCGCGAGACCAGGCATGGCCTCGCCAGGCGCAGTCAATCCGACTGCTGACCCTACCCCGGCCGAAGTGGCCATGGAGCGCAGCCCCAGAGCTCCCACCCGAAGCGCCCCAATCCCGCGGACTCGGTCCGCCCCGTCACGCAGCAAAAGCACGGCCACCCGCAAGCGTGCCGCAGAACCTGACAGCCCTAAAGCCCCGGCGAAGCCAACAACCCGGTCCTCAAAGAAGGCCATGCGAGACCGAGAGGATCCCATGGACGAGAGACAGAGTGACGCCAACGTGAACTCACTGATCACGCACGAACCTCTACCTCAACTGTCTCCGCGGACCCCCCCCTCGCTGGAGTCGGCCAATGTCGACGCAGTCAAGAAGGTGCGACGCCGCCAAAGCGCACGCCCTGCCGCTGACGAGTCGTCCGACGACGAATTGAGCCTCACCCGCAGAGACCCCGACTATGGCCCCACTGACGAAGCAATGACCACTAACCTCGAAGACAGTTCGTGGGCCTAATCAACCTATCTTAATGTATAAAGACCCAAATCGGTTATATATTTTACAGGCGAATTGCTGGAAATCACGTGACGAGGTGCAGATGCACCTGTTCGGGGAGGAGGAGCTTCAGGAGTACGACATCTTGGCGATCCAAGAACCTTATATCAACAAACTTACAGACCCATTGACCACCTATTCACTCGCCCTGCAGGGCCGCTTTCACGTGGCACTGCGCCCTACACCAAAAGCCAACTACGATGACCGTCCCCGGGTGTGCCTCTACATCAATAAGCGCCTCGACGCCACGAAGTGGGAGGTGCACCACCATAACAGAGATCTCACAACATTGACGCTCCATACCAACTTGGGCGTGGTGAATGTGCACAATATTTATAACCCAGGCGCCGGAGCGACTGGCGAGTCAAACCTTGAGGCCCTCGCAGCCGCGATATCAACGCGCCCTGGCCTGCACGTCGCCCTAGGCGACTTCAATCTGCACCACCCGCTCTGGGCGGCCCCCGACTACGAAGCTATCGACGACGACGCCACCAAACTCATCGACATCGCGGACGCGCACGGCCTGCAGCAACTGCTGCCTCGAGGCACTGTGACGTACGAGAGAGCCGACGCCAAGACCACCATTGACCTCGTCTGGGCCTCGCACGCCCTGGCAGATCGCCTCATTGGTTGTCAGGACCGCCGGGAGTGGTGGTACGGTGCAGATCATGTGCCAATCCACACCGAGTTTGACCTCTCGCCTGCCCGAGCCGCCCCGGCCCGCCGCAGACAGTGGGATGCCACAGACTGGGAGTTTTTCATCAAGCTGATAGAGAGCCGCAGCTGGCGCCCGCAGGACTTACCTGATAAGGAAGCGATCGACAGCGCTATTTCAACCTTAATTAAAGCCATCACTGACGCAGCCGAACAGGCTACGCCATGGAAGCAGATCTCACTATACTCCCGGCCTGGCTATACCCCCGAGATGGCCGCACTCAAACAGGAAGTGACCCGACGCAGACGCTTTGCAAAGCAAGCCAACACAGAGCGTGCATGGGAGTCATATAAGACGGCCAAGCAACATATGAAACAGGAATCGTCACGCCTCGCACGTGAACTACACCGAAGCCGCATTGAGGAAGCCACGCAGTCCATTGAGGGCTTCTGGAAGGTGGCCAGATGGGTGCGCATGCGCGGGTCCCCTCGTGCAACGTTCACCCCAACGCTATACTATGAAGGCCGTCAATACAGCGCCCCCCAAGACAAGGCGGCCCTGCTCCGTGCGGTGCTGCACCCTAACCCCCCCGAAGCTGACTTATCTGATATAGGGCATCAATACCGTTATTCAAAGCAGCTAGAGATGCCACCAATCACAATCCATGAAGTGCACGCCGCGATTAGTCACGTGAGACCGAAGAAGGCCCCGGGGCCGGATGGCATCCCTAATCTTGTGCTCCAGAAGCTCCTTCCAATCATCGATGACTACCTCACTAACCTGTTTAATGCGTGTATCATCTGCCATTATTGTCCAGCCCACTTTAGGCAGTCCAACACGGTAGTGATCCGTAAACCAGGCAAGCCAGATTACACCGACCCCAAAGCTTACCGGCCAATCGCGCTATTGAGCACGATTGGGAAGGCCCTTGAGGCCGTTCTCGCCACACGGCTGAGCTATCTTGTAGAATATTATGATTTGCTACCAAGGAACCATATGGGAGGACGCCGAGGCCGCTCGTGTGAGCATGCCCTGCACCTCCTACTCGAACGCACCCATGCGGAGTGGCGCGAGGGGGCTCTGGTAGCGTCTGGGCTAGCCCTAGACGTCTCAGGGGCTTTCGACAACGTCAATCATAAGCGACTTCTTCATGATCTACGCAAGCGGCGGGTGCCGGAGGCCCTGGTACGCTGGATTGAAAGCTTTCTGAGCGAACGCCGCACATCAATCATCCTTCTCGAGGGCGACATGGGCGAATTTCCGGTTAACACTGGCATCCCACAGGGGTCCCCCCTGTCACCAATCCTATTCCTATTCTTTAACGCCGACCTTATTGACGATATCCAAAGCCAGTGCCCTGGCACCCTCGCCATGGGCTACATTGACGACGTCCTAATCATGGCATACGGGGACTCGGCCGCTGACAACTGCCGCACACTCTCCCACGCGCACCAGGTCGCAGAGCGCTGGGAGCGAACACATGCCTCCAAATTCGCACCGGCCAAATACCAGTTGACGCACTTCTGGCGGCGGCACCGTAGCGTGCCCAAGCCGGACACCCCCCTCGACACCCCCCTCGTCCTACGAGGCGTCGAGATCGTGCCAACTGGCGCCATCAAATATCTCGGGGTGCAACTTGACTCCAATCTCACTGGTATGGCACAGGTGCGTCAAATGAGGAAGCGAGCCGCAGGCCTCGTCGCTGGAATAGCCTCAATCGCAGGATCCACCTGGGGGACTCCACTACTCCATTTACGGAAGATCTACACAGCCGTGCTGCTGCCTCAGATCATGTACGCATGCTCGACATGGTACGTACGCGGGGGCTATGGCTTCCACGCCGCCAAACACGCTGCCGAGAAGGCCGCTCGATCGATTCAATACCAGGCGCTGCAGCGCATCTCCGGGGCGTTCCGCCGCACAAGCCGGCAGGCCCTTGAGGTCTGCCTGAACGTCCCCCCGCCCGAGATCACCCTCGCACGGCTTGCCGAAGAGGCCTGCCTGCGCATCATGACTTCGCCGATCCGCCCAAAGCTGCACCAAATCCGAGGCGATGCGCACCGGAACAACGCATACACGTCCCCCCTACACCGCTTGGAAGCAGCTGTTGACGCCAAACTGGGACGGGGGGTGTGCCAACGAATAGAGCTGATCCAGCCGTTCACGACATCCCCCTGGTGGCAGCCGCCAGAGACATTGATCAGTAAGGACCGTGAGGCGGCACTCGCTGAATTGAGAAAACAGACCCCCCCGATACAAATATTTACCGATAGCAGTGGATTTGACAATGGAATTGGGGCTGCAGCGCACTCTACACTGGGGAGCGTCAGCACGCCTGTGGGCTCCGCCGACACACACACCGTTTACGCAGGGGAATTGGAAGGCATTCACGAGGCGCTAACACTTCTTTCAAAGCAATCAGACTACGCAGGGCCCCGAGAGGCCACGATCTACACCGATAACCAGGCCGCCATAACCGCCTGTGGAGCCCCTAAGCGCTCGTCAGGCCAGCATATCGTGCAGCGAATCGTCAATCGATTAGATCGTCTACACAAGGCCCACTGGCGTATACGGATACAGTGGGTGCCAGGCCACGAGGGCGTGCCTGGCAACGAGGAAGCTGACCGACTGGCAAAGCTCGCCGCAATGGAAGCAATTCGCCGCACTCGCGTTGAGGAGAGACGTGCCCGGATCAATGCACCCAGCCAGGCAACGCCACATGCCGCACGTATGACCTTTGATCCAATGCTTCAGCATCAGAATATAATCTTAGTGACGGTCTGCCGTCAACGCCTGCGCGCGGGTTTCGCCGAACGGTGGAAGCAAGAGTGGGAGATCGCCGAGCACGGTCGGGATCTTTATCAGATATTCACTGCGCCGACGAAAGCGCTTCTATTGCTGCATGCGGGGCTTCATAAGGCATGGAGCTCAGCCTTAATCCAACTACAGTCAGGCAAATCGGCCCTGCGCACTTTCTTAGCAGACGTCAAGATCGCCGACTCACCCATGTGCGACTGCGGCTTCGGCCGGCAAGATGCCAACCATGTTCTCACCAAATGCCCCCTATTCACCCGACTGCGTACACAGACACTTTGGAGCGAAGCACGTGAAACCGACTACAAGCGACTGCTTAGCCAGCCCGCTTGGGTCAAAAAGAGTATCGACTTCATGCTGCGAACGGGTCTCCTAACCCAATTCAGGCATGTCGTCCCCCCAGTATCACGTCCGCTATGAGCGCGACTGTCATACAAATAGTTCCCCCCTGCTTGAATGCCTTCGGACACACAGGCCACCCGAACCACACGATTGATGCCCCCGGGCCCCCCCTTATTTGACTCCTTTCCCCCCTTCTCCCCGCGCCGCGTGCGCTCGTTGTACAATATTTCATTAGTCTCCATAGCTTTTCAGCGTTCCACCACTCCCTTGAGCATATAGGTCTGTGACACATCTCATTTGTTAGCGTTTGAGCGTTCTGTTGATTTGTTATTGTTTGGCGACGCGGGAACGCGTGCAGAGTTTTCGGCTAAGGCTGCGTTAGGGGTGCCTTAGGCGCCCCGTAGTCAAGGCCTAGGGCCGACAGCCCTGCACTCTCTTTCCTTTTTTATTGGCAGAGAGGCCCACTGTCCATTAGCCTCGCCGCCAGCCACATTAGGCTTAGATGCGCGTATGAATACTACTACTACTACTACTACTACTACCGTCTTGGTTTCACTAACCAGCCTAGATATACGATCTTGACCAAAAACATCTTTTTCTTCGCGGAACGAATTTTTGAAATTCCTCGCCCAAAGCAGACCGGACACGGCCAAGAATTAGATCAAAAGTAATTAACTCCTCTAGCTATCATTTAAGCCCAAATTTGTGCGATTTGAGCAATACAATGGCACAGGGGGGTGGTGTAACGCCATCCGCGACTGAAAAGTCGTTCCCGACGCGTGGGCCAGAGCGGCCACGCAAACAAATCGCCAATATGGAGGAACTGGGCAATGCGGCCCAAAGCAACTCTTAACTACATTCAAGCATGTAATAAACCACTCAAGGATGAGTTTATTCTCAACTTTATCGAACACGTACGCGACTTCGCGCGCTCTGCCCCTGCTGGGGGCGATGGTGCGGCTCTCGCAAGCTTCCAGAGGCTGCTGGAAGCGGTCCAGGAAGACACTGCGTCGATCCGTAAAGAACTCACCAACAAGTCAAGCGCAACTACCGGCTTATCTCAAGATTCAGCCTCTTTGTGGAAGACCATTCGTGCCCGAGAGTGGCAGCTGGGGCTCAAAAACGCGACGGTCCCTCTCTCTCAGAGTGCTGGTTCATCGACCCCGGGGGTCACCCCAACTGAGCTGGGCCTGGATAGCGAGGTCGTGGTCAAGATCCGCGACGCTGCTTTACGGAAGGAATTAAAAAAGGCCAAGCCAGTGGACATTGTTAGACGAGTGGAACGCGCCAGGGCCGAAGCAGCGAAGGCGACTCCAAGCCTGGCGCTCGCGGGCCACGCGTTCATTGCCGCACGACAGTTGCCGTCGGGTGATATCAGCCTTCGGGCTCACAACGCCGCGGCAGCTGAGATACTGAGACAACATGCTCAGGGTTGGGTCAAGGCTTTTGGACCGAGCGCGTGGGTGCGCGTGCCGACATGGGGGGTAGTTGTCGACGGAGTTCCGGTGCACTCCATGGATCTTGACCCAGGACGAATTGAGGACACCAAAACGCGCTTAATTGCGCAGAACCAGCACACCTGGGGGACAGAGGCCAAGATTGCATATGTGGGATGGTTGGTCAAGCCGAAGCGTCGCGAAGGGTCGCTCGTTATCGAATTCACAAGCCCTCTCGTGGCGAACGAGGCAATCTCTAAGGGTACGATCTGGGAGGCCGGTCTTCACACCAATAGACCCTATTGTCGAGAGGGGCGGTGTAGACAGTGCCTTAAATGCCAAAGATTTGGGCATTCCCACGCTCAGTGTCCCTTCGAAGCATTTACGTGCGGCGTCTGCGCAGGCGCGCATCCGACCTGGGAATGTGCAGCCAAGCGAGGCCAAGGAAATGTTACTATCAAATGCGCCAACTGTAGTGGCAGCCATAAAACCATCAGTGGCCTCTGCCAGGTCAAAAAAGATGCAATCGAGCGCGCCAAAGCGGCATTATTCAATTGCGAACGCTTCCATCGGGTGCCGGAGCATCTCCGCCCTCAAAATAAGCCCATTTCCAACTCTAATCTACAGCCAGCAGCGACAACAGCTACATCAACAGCTGTGCCGATACTAACGGAGGCAGTACCTCCAACCGCGCCAGCAACATGCAGGAGTGTGGACCGCCAGATTCCTGCCGTCCCCTATCTGACACCTGCCCAGCAAGCGGCAGAGAAAAAGGGGGTAGTCTACGACAAACCGACAGTGCGCAAAGCAACTCGCCCTCGAGGCAGGCCACCCAAATCGACCTCGTCAGCGGGCCAAGAGCCCCTGCCGGACATGAATACCCAAATCGAGGCAGCACTCTCACTCACCCAAGCAATGAATCAACCAACGCTTCAACAGCCCCCCCAAAGCGCACGCGCCGCGGGGAGCCAGTGCCGATGATGAGCGAACCCGAAAAGCTGCTGCGCAAGCCAGTTGGCAAGCGTGTGCGGTCCGACAACAGCGAAGAGGGTCCCTCAGCCTTACGTGCGAAGCCGACCCCGGCCCAAGACGACGAAGAGCCGCAACTTCCTGCTCACCCCCCTCTCCCTCCGATCTCAATGGATATCGGCGACACCGACATTGTGCTGCGGAGCGACACTAGCTTCCGCCAGCTAGACTTCAACATCGCCTCAGAGGGGGGTTATCAAGAACTAATGGGTCAATTTACTAACCATAACAATACGCAAGCACAGACCATTCAAATCGGACCAACCACACCTCAGCGTGCCATGCAACCAGTCACCCAGTCGGCCTCCGAACCACCCTCTGATGAGGAATCGTCGGAACTGTCAGAGCCCGAGGACTCAGACGACATCAACTATGAAGAAGATCTCACCCTAGTCCCAACCAGGAAACCCAGCAGCGCCCCTCGTCGCTTTCTTTAATGAATAACTTCCAACTAATCCAATATAACACGCATAAAAGTAAGAATGTGGTCATGGCCACATTTCTACGAGACAAGAGGGTGCTGGAGGCCGACGTTATCGCGGTCCAAGAACCCTGGCGCAACGAATTCAATGAAACCACCCACCAGCCGGCAGCGAGAACGCATCAACTGCTATATCCCAAGGCGCAGGAGCATGGAGGAGAGGGACACGCGCGCGTGGCCTTATTCGTTACAAAGCGCATCGACCCAAGCTGCTGGATCCACACAACTATCACGAAAGATTATCAAATACTACATATCAAATATAAGCGAGGGGGGCTACTCCAAAGCTTATACATCCACAACATCTACAACGAACCCAGGAGCGGCACGATCAATAGACTCGGCACCGAGTTGGAACGCATCGCCGAAGCCTCCCCGGAAGCAGAGCATATCATCGTGGGCGACATGAACGCACATCACCCTGCTTGGGGAGGTGCCGGCGCAAAAATCGACGCTGAGGGCGAATTATTGCTGGAAATTGCTGACCGTTATAGCATCGAGTTGACCACCGAGGAAGGCGTAGTCACGTGGGAACGCGGCGATCTCAGATCAACGATCGATCTCACCCTAATCTCGTCCAGCCTTACCAACCGACTGATCCAGTGCGAGCGAGCCGACGACATCCAGCATGACTCTGACCACTACCCGATAAGAACGTTAATTGACATCCAAACACCTTCCAAAGAGGCGCCCCCGCGCCGAAATTGGAAGGCCACTGATAATAAAGCACTCCTTGACGTCATTAACAAGCATTTGGAAGTTCCCAATTTACAGGGGGCCTCCAAACAACGCATCGAGCTCACCACTATAGCGTTCATATCAACAGTCCGCCATGCCATTGACCAATCGACCCCCTGGGCCACCCCAAGCGCCTGGTCCAATCCCGACTTCGACGATGAATGCAAGCAGGCGGTCAAGGCTACCCGATATCTCAGACGTCAATTCACACGCACGCATAATCCACTCGACTGGAAGATCTACTGCGCGGCCCGCAACAAGAAGAAACGCCTCGTCAATAAAGCCCTGCGCGTAGGCCACCGCCGACGAGTTCAACAAGCCACCGAACAAGGCCCTCGGGGGCTTTGGCAGTTGGCCAGGTGGGCACGCTCACGCTCAGGCACGTACGAATCAGGAGTCACTCCAACGCTTCACGGCCCCAATGGGGAAGTGGCAGAAACAGTGGATGACAAAGCAACCTTATTCCAACAAGCGTTCTTCCCTGCGACACCCCCGGCAGACTTATCAGACATCGCCAGATCTACTTACCCGAACCAGATAAGCTTTCCCCGAATCGAGCAGCACGAGATTGAGGCTGCCATTCGCGCCACTCCCCCAGACAAGGCTCCCGGCGAGGACAACATCCCGAACAGCCTTTGGCAGAAGGTGATCACGCTCCCAAAGGTCCTCAACACGCTCTGTGAGATCTATAACGCCTGCGTGGAGAGGGGCTATAACCCGACGCACTTCCAACGCTCAATAACAGTGGTCCTACGCAAGGGGGGCGATCGGGATTACCGACATCCCAAGGCATACCGCCCGGTGGCGTTACTCAACACGCTCGGCAAGTTTCTCGAATCAATAATCGCGCGACGAATCAGCTACGCTATTGAGACGCACTCGCTGCTCCCACCCACTCATCTGGGGGGGCGTCGTGGCGTCTCAACTGACCATGCCATCCAAACTATCATTGACCGAATCAGGGGAGCCTGGGGCAAAGGTTTACCGGTAGTGTCGATGCTTCTACTCGACGTTGTAGGCGCGTACGACAATGCGCATCATGAACGACTACTACATAATTTGCGCAGGAAGCGACTGGGACATTTTGCCCCATGGATCCAGGCTTTCCTGACCGACCGAAGCACACGCATTCGCATGCCGGAAGGCATGTCAGAGCGAATCCCAATATCAACCGGCATACCACAGGGGTCCCCCCTATCCCCGATCCTTTACCTAATCTATAACTCTGATCTACTAACTGATAGCGCCAATGAGGCTGAAGGAACAACAACAAGTGGCTGGGTCGACGACGTCAGTATTATGACGGTGGGGGCCTCAGAACAGGCCAATATCACAAAGCTGCAACACGCCTGCGCCAAGGCAGACCTCTGGGCGAAGCGCCACGCGTCAGTCTTTGACACCAAGAAATATAAGCTTATTCACTTCATCAATCCCCGCAGCCTCACTAAGCCGAAGTATACGCCGCTCGCGCTGCTCGACGGCACAACCATCAAAGCGACACAGGAAGCAGAGCGTTATCTTGGTATCTGGCTAGATCCAAGTCTTACCTTCGAACAACACCGAGCTAAGGCACTTGCTAAGGCCGGCACAAGCTTGCAAGCGCTGCGAGGTCTCGCGGGATCAACATGGGGAGTAGCCCTATCGGCCATGCGGCGAATCTATCAAGCAATCGTGATCCCTCAGATGCTCTATGGAGTGGCTGCCTGGTTCCAACCAGGGGCGCTTACCAAGAAGCAAATCAACGAAATAACACGAGGCTTCGCCTCCATTCAAAAACGCGCAGCGTGCCTGATTAGTGGCGCCTTCCGCACGACAGCAGCCGAAGCGTTGAATGTCGAACTGCATTTACTTCCTATCAAGCTCCAAATGGAGCAACTTACCAAGGAGACCGCCTTGCGGCTGCGCACCGGCCCGACCCACGCCATGCCGGAAAGCCTAATTCGACAACGTCCTGAGAGTGAGATCAAGCTGGGAGGCTATACCCCCATGGAGGTGCATGCCTGGAAGAAGGGTGGATGCTTATTGGCTCCCCCGGACTCCGTGGCAGGACAGTGGGAGAGCCGACAGGCATTCATCCGGGCGCCATGGCAAGCACCCCCTAGTGTGATCATCGAAGAAGACCGGCAGAAAGCAATTGACGCGCACAATGCCATTCAACGCACGCAAGACTCCCTCCTATTGATTTACTCAGATGGCAGCGGCTACAAGGGCCAAATTGGATCGGCAATGGTATGCCCCCAGGTCAAGAAGCAATATTCAGCATGCCTCGGCACCGAAGGTACTTCGACCGTGTATACCGCTGAAGTACGCGGCATTGAATTCGGCCTGCGAACAGCTTTATATTACAATGAGATGCCCGATTGGGAAGCACGCGTCAAGAAAGGAGTGGTAATCTTTTCAGATAGCCAAGCTGGTCTCAAAACACTCACCAGCCCGGGCATGGTCTCAGGACAAGTCTTTGTACAAAGCTGCCAAGACCTGCTCAATGAATGCGCATATGAAGACATCCCAATCACGCTCCAATGGATCCCCGGGCATGAAGGCATCCAAGGCAACGAAGCAGCAGACCGAGCGGCCAAACGCGCTGCGCAGGAGGCCGCCAGACAACCTATTCAATCTACTCACACTAACACTAATACTGATCCCATATCAAAGCGATACTGGCTGGCATCAGCTGCCAAGCGCCGAATTCGGCAATCGACAAAGGATGCGTGGAGGCGAGAGTGGGAGAGAAGCAAAGCAGGGGCTCCGACACGCAAGCTACTCGACGCCCCGACCAAGAAAACACTGAGATACTGGGGCGGTCTGCGTAAGGCAACCGCGTCAATATTGATCCAACTACGCACGGGGCGAGTCGGCTTGAACCACTATTTATGGCGGATCAAGCGCCGAGACTCACCCTTATGCCCATGCGGCCTTGGCGGCCAGTCCCCAAGACATATCATCATGCTTTGTCCCCAATACACGCGCGAACGCATGGCAATGTGGCGCCGGATCCGAGGCGGCCGTTCAGTCGGCGAATTTAGCGAAATAATTGGCGAAAAAGAGGCAGCGATTGCTGTCGCGCAATTTATAATCGATACAGGCGTGCTGGACCAATTCAGGGCGGTTGACCCCGAAGCACTCGGCGTGCAACCCGACGAAGCCAAAGCGATAGCTGAGGCCCCCGATCAAGGACACTAACGTGGCTTACACGGAGCGTAGAACGCACAGGCACTGGCGCACCAGGTCAGCCCATGGCCAGTAAGGACCAGCAATAACACCAACATCCTGCCTGAGGCGGGAGCGATGCGAAGCAAGGCCTAGTAGGGGACGGTTCGGAGGGGTGCGCGAGCGTAGGCCTGAGCTGGGCAGGCCGAGCCGGAGTGGGATATTCAGTCGGTATCGCACGAACTGGGCGGCGCGGCGCGCTAATCGGGTGTGATAAAGGTGAACGTTGTGAGCGTTATTGACTATCTGCGTTGTTCATACTTTGCGTTATTCGGATTTTTGCGTGTTCTATTTGTTTGTATTGTTTGCACTAGTTAGCTTATTTTACCTTCCCGTGGCGTACCCCTCTGGGCCGCGCCACTGCGTGGCTGCGCCATGCTTGCTCTCCCTACAGGTTAGGGCACAACCCTGCATAGCGGCGATAGTATGGAAGCCAGCTACATCAGGTCAATGAAATCTACTACTACTACTACTATACGATCTTGACCCCTCTCCCCCAGATGTTGTGGTTCTGGGCCGCTATCCGCAGCTTGAGGTCTTCGTTCCCCTTGTCAAGATCCATGGAGCGAGCCGGAACTCCATCGACGACTACCCCCCATGTGGGAACACGCACCCACGCATTGGCTCCAAAGGCGCCAACCCAACCCTCTGCGTGTTGTCGCAAGATCTCGGCGGAGGCAGCGTTCTGGGCGCGGAGACTAATGTCTCCTGAGGGTAGTTGACGTGCGGCGATGAACGCGTGCCCCGCGAGAGCCAGGCTTGGAGTACTCTTCGCTGCTTGAGCCCTGGCTGATTCCGCGCGCTTGACGATGTCAACCGGCTTCATCTTCTTTAACTCTGTCCGTAAGTAGCATCGCGGACCTTGACCACTATCTCACTATCTAGACCGAGCTCGCTTGGGGTAACGCCCGGGGTTGACGAACCGGCACTCTGGGAGAGAGGTGCCACCGCGTTCACCAGGCCTCGCTGCCACTCTCGGGCTTGAAAAGACTTCCAAAAGGAGGAAGAGTCACTCTGGGCGCTGTGTTTGTTTGTGGAAATTTCCTTCCGGATCATCTCAGTGTCCTGATGGACTTGCTCTGTTACGATCGGCATAAACAGGAATTTATGGTATCATTGAACGAGAATTCTAAGTATGAGGAAAGAATTATGTACAGCCGCGCGCGTTGCGGATAGATAACCGGTGTGGGGCACGTGCCACGTGGCACGTGTCCCACTAGCCCCAGCCCTAGCCGCCTTAACCGCCTGAGGCAAACAAGGTGCCAACCCGGCCGTTACACCCGTGGCCTGCCCTGCAGGCTAGGGAAGACACCGATATACGCGCATATACCGCCTCAATCATCAAAGATCTCGAGGCATTGAAGCAGCATCATGAGAAATCCAAGAGCAACATGCCCCGGGAGATCTCTGAAGCATTGGTTGACACGCTTCTCGATTTCTCACGCCGCGTGCAGAAGGCCCCAACCACGGAAACCCTCGCGCAGCGCCTGATACGAATGGAATCTTACATGGAAAAGACTCAAAAGGAAGTGTCCCAGACCTCCCGTGAGGTTCTCAACACCAAGTCCAATACTAACCGCTTACTGGAGGCACTCTGCACGCCTTCACCCTCAGGAGCTCGCCAATCGAAAATTTCTGCTGGTGATATTGATTTATAAGACCAACTCTTTCTCGCGGAATCGAATTCTTGAAATTCTACGCCCAAACACGGCCGGATTCGGCTAAGAATTAGTTCAATATAAATTAACTCTGACCGCTATCGATTGAGCCCAAATTTGTGCGATTTGAGCGAAGCGATGGCTCGGGGTGAGGGAATAACGCCTCCCGAGACTGCAAAGTCGAGCGCGTCGCGTGTGCTGCAGCGTACACGTAAACAACTCGCGAACATGGAGGAGCTGGCCAATGCTGCCAAAGCGACGCTCAATTATATTGAGCATAGCGACAAGCGGCTTCAAGACGAATTCGTTATCGGCTTCGTCAAACAGGTACAACAATTCGCTGCCCAGGCTCAAAACGGCGTGGGCAACCCTGAAGGTCTCGCGGGCTTCCAGCGGCTGCTGTTATAATCTTAGGTATGTGTGCATTCTGGATATGTGTGGAAGATTGTTCTAT